AATATAAAAATTAACAAAAGTAGTATTTGTCATTTTAGATGGAAAATTACTGATTATTATGTTTTGCTATTCAGAACAGCATATCTATCTTAGCTGTTAAACTTGCAATGTTTTAGTCATTCTACCCTCTAGCCTTCTCCTGTTTCTTCATACTAAATAAACATCTTGGAATTTTGAACCAAATCAGATTGTTTATATTTCACATATCATGTTGGATGTGGGGGAGCATTGTATTATATAAGTTAATATTCAACAGTCTTATTCACTTTTGTGGCATTTGTTTGTTTCTTTCACTTTTCACAACTACCAGACCCAAGGATTAAACTCACAACTGCCAGGAAGTCATGATGGACACTGAGTACAAAGGCAAACATCTGAAGGTTAGAGGATACAATGGCTGAAACATTTTGAGTATTAAAAAAAAATCTAGATGAGTATACTGATCTGAACAACAAAGTCTATAAGAAGTCATTTTCTACCTAAAACCAAAAAAAAAAAAAAAAAAAAAATTCTACAAAACATTGTTGCTTGTTTAAACTTACAAAATAGTCTATTTTAATGGTTTGCTTCCATTTCATCTTTCATAATAATTCATCAAAAGCTGATTTTATTATTTAGCTGAATATGTTTTATTTCACACATTCCACAACATTAAAACCTCACAAAGTTAACAGAAACAATGAAAATGTATGAGAATTGTTGAGATAAGCAAAAATAGCAAACAATTCTTCTGTGATATCCTTCAAGAGGATTGTTTATTATTTTCAGACATACAACAAAATGAAAAATCAATTTTATCAAGAGAAAAAAATAAATTACCTGTTATTAATGTTTGGAATGCTGTAAAAACAGAAACAATTAACATGAAGATAACAGCTAGGAAAAAATTGGTAAATATTTTATACTGTTCCCAGACTGTATAGTAAGAAAATTAGTTCAGTTAAAATTCCACGTTATAAAAATAGCATTTTAGATTTATTGATCAATCACTATTACTGATTATGTTTTTGGTTAACTCAATCCAGTTTTAAAGTAGTGAAAACAAGGACTTATACAAAAAGGTGAGGTTATATATATATTTGTGGATATAGGCTGATCCTTCATTCATAAAAGAGAGGTTGAATATAACAGACAAGGTGTTTTTGATTTAGTTTTTTTTACAATTTCTCATGTGGATCTTATTATTTTTTCAGGATAAATTATAAAAAAATGTCCAAATGTTTTTTTATTCCAAGATGAAAGTCCCATGGATGCATTTAGCCATTTGCAAGGTTGAACTATATTAACTGTTAAAAAGAAATAGATTGCTGTATGTATTTATGTTCCATTTTCAAAACACAGTCAAGATATTGTGTGTTGTTTTTTGTTTTAATTAATAAGGCTTCCATTTTAGCCTTTTTTTTTTTTTACATGTAGATCATGCTATTACATTTGTGTTATCAACAAGTATGTTATGAAAAAAAAATCAGTAGGTCTCCATAAGTATTTAAATGAGATCTAATTGAGTTATGGTTAGAAAGATGTAGTGTGTGTCAAACATGTTGCACTATGGCCTATATAATTGTTTACAAATTTTGATTGAACAGGAATACAATTCCTTAATGGACACTTAAATTCATAAATAATATTTGTTCTATATTTTGAACAATATGTTGACAGTGTTTTGAAAATGAAACATTATATAAATACATACATAAAATAATGTATTTCTTGTTAACAGTTAATATATTTCAACCTTGAAAATGGCTAAAGGTACAGCTGAAAGCACTTGGAAAGAAAGAACAAACATGAACAGGTTTTATATAATTTATCAACCAAAAAAAAAGTTATAAGATTATAATCAGAAATTGTATAAAAAAATTAAATCAAAACACCCTGCCTGTCATATTTCTAAAGAAATATATATTATTATTTTTTATTATATATATATATATATATATATATATATATATATAAAAAAAAGAACAGTAAGATATATAATCCTAAAGTTCTTATAGATATTTTATTTTTACAAAATAGTGCTCAATGTAAATTTACAGAGCATTAATATTATCAATTAATTGATTTTTAAAAATATTTTTGTTCAATATTTTATATATATATATATATATATATATATATATATATATAATAAAGAACAAAAATATTTGGAGAAAGATCAAAGTAAAATCTGTTCATGTTTGTGAGTTATGCCTAAAAATTTTTTAAACCTTATTAATTTTCTGTTTTTGAAAAAAAAATGGCTAGTTTAATTTAAATCACAAACTGGCACAGAAGAAAAACAATGAGGGGAAAATGAACATCAGAAACTAACTAAGGAAAAATACAAATGTATTCATGCATATATTTTAGAGCACTCTAACCTACAGAGTTTCCAATTAAAGTCCTCCAACTACTTCCATATAGAAATTAATCTTGTTCAAAGATAAAGCTATCAGCACTCTTATGTTTAAGTGAACAAGTAGCAATCATTGATTGACATAAGTTGGAATGCATTAGTACCAAAAAATGATTGGCTGTCACAAATATTACTATGTCATACATCAAGTGAGTCTCTCTATCCAAATCTAAGAAACAGAGAATAAAAGACATCCATCCCTGATTAGTCAGTCTGGCCATTCCCATTTTGCATTTCTGATTTAAATAGCACTTCCAAGTTCTTTCTCCAAGAATATCAAAAACAATGCTAATGGCACTGAAATCTGTTCAACAAAGTTCTGCGTTATCTTCATTTATCTTTTCTTGTTTCTTATTTTTTATGAAGATAATGGTTCTTGAGCCAGTGCCAAGTGCTGGGGTTCACACTCTGACAACTTCAAAAGTGACTTTGTTACAGGTTCCTTTAAAGGCTTTCAGGAGATTGTAAATAGTCAGGCCAGCACATGACTCTAAAGATTTTGTTGTTTTAGTTCTCAAAAGTATCTTTTTTAAATATGGTATAATGATTCCATATAAGTACTTAACTCTTGAACAATTTTCTTTTCAGGGTAAGAAGTCATAGAATTTTTTTTTTACAGAATGTTTTAAAATCCTAAAATTACTATATAGGCTATATTTTCTTACTACCAGACTAAATTCAGAAACCTAGTTTAAGCAAGGGACAAATGTCTGGAAGTTTTATTTTTTAATAATTTTTGCATACATTTCAGTCTCATCATCTAAGTACTTTACAGTATCTTGGTGTGCATAAAATTTGTGCTGATTCAACATCTTATAGATCAATAGGTTTCTATGAATAACCTGACATAGATGAAATTGAATCTTTGTTAAAAGTCATCTTTATTCTTGTCCAAATAATTAAATGTGGAAACTCAGGTTTTGAGGCATACTTCTTTAAAAACATTTTACATAAAAAAAAAAAGAATGAATCTCATATTGCCCAAGTAGCTGATTCATTGTAAAAATAATCACTTCAATGATACTGTCTGAGGACTTATTAAAAAATCTCATACAACTAATAATTATAATAAGTAAGGAAATCTTCCATAGTGTCTCAAAACTGATTTTAAGGTAACAAGACTTACAGCCATATGTTGAAACATAAGTTCCTGTATGATCACCGAAGTTAAGCATCGTTGAGCCTGATCAGTACCTAGATGTATGACTGCTTGAGAATACTAGATGTAAGCTTGGATGTGCGAGTGGTGTAATGAATAATGGCTTGAAATTGTTAGTTTGAATACTAATTGCATTTGTTATATTCACTTATGTGCAAATTACCTTGGGAAAGATATGAATCCACCTCATCTCTCCCCAGCTATGGGTTAATTAGTATGACTTGTATTGCTAAATCATTATTATCTCAAAAAATAAAAAAAAATTCCTAAAATCTAAAAGTATTTTCTGGCTTTAAATAACCTGCAATGAGTTGATAAGCAGTGGAAAACAAATCAATATATCAAGGTAACAAGGTATTCTTAGGCTTTAGATTATATCAATGAATCTTAATTTTCAAAAGAAATGGATAAGTTAAATGCAGATTTTAATACTGGAGCCAATAACTTTTTTGTTTTTTAAAGAAAATATTCCAACTAATCAATATTAGTGAAAAAAAATAATGTAATTTGCATATTCATATATTATTAAGACAATGGTTAATACACCATTTTCTTTAAAGGTTTACAATAATGAAATATGAAAATGCTATCAAAATTCACATCAAGATTCCTTGAATATTGAGTTTTTACAAAGATAATGATAGTTTTAAAAGTTCTATAATTTTTGAAAACTACGATAAATAATTTAGCTGTTTATGGATTTTGTAGGTGATAAAATGTGTATGTAGTTAATAAGCAGTTTTAATAAAAAATAATTACGAAACCTATCCTACTTTGTTTTTGTTAGCAACTGTATGGATGATAAAGCAAAAATTTAATATTTTGAATGACCTAAAAGAAAAATAAATAATTTAAAAGCTTTTCTACTTTCTCACAAATATTCATATTTTATTGATATTATTGTATATAACTCTGATCATGTGTAAAATCAATTTAACCCATTAATACTCATGATAAAATCTGCTATTAATTAGGAAAATTAAAATAAAAAACCTACTATTAATTATAGGTTTCTGAAAACTCTGATATTATAGGTTTTTTTATAAAAGGCCAGTATTAATTACAGGATTCTACCAAATACCCATTAATGCACACCATCCCATTTTTGGGATGGTGGACATTAATGGGTTAAAGTAAAAAATAAAAATTCATATATTCTTTTTTTTTAAAGGAGCAAAACTTGTTGAAAATTGGAAAAAAAAGCTGTTGCTTTATTAAATAAATAGGAATTAAGTCATAGAAAGTCTCTAATTTACAAATTTGAAATCATCCAAGTAAAAAAAATATATATTATCAATTAATTCATATTGATAACAAAATTTGGGAACAGAATCTGTAAGCAAACCAGAATTATTTCTGAAATAATCCCAATACAAAAAATTGGAGTGAAGATGTAATGAGTAAATTGAGCAATGATAAATAATAAAGAATATTAGTACAAACCTTTTTGTGCTGCTTGATGATGTTGTATCTTGAACACAAGGAACTTTGGTACTCTCACTAACCCTACTTGAGTCTTTAACCTGAGGTTCTGATCCTGAAAAGCTTGATGTTCGCTGGACATCTGTGATTCCAAATGGAGCTTTCTCTGTCGGTGTTATAGGTGGGTTAGGGTAAGGAGGGTTATACATTGAATTACTGGACATTCGAGTCAGCACACTGCAAGGAGGATTGGAATCAGCTTCAGTTGGATCTATAACCAATGAAAAATGGCAGAAGGTAAATGATTTGAAAATATCAAAATCATTACTAAATTATCAAATTGAAAAATATAAATTATTAAATGGTTTATTCCTGGATCAAAACTGAATTCCTTTACCAGAACATTTTATCTGTTTATTACACTTGCTAATACACTAATCACATTCAGGAAGTTTGATTTTTCCTAATTCAGATATATAAAGCTACAGTCCCCATTCCTTCAAAAAAACAATAAAAAACAAACCAAAAAAGCAAACCAAAACAAAAAACAACCACCTTCAGTGGCCATTGAGCCTTGTATTGGGTAAACATTAGTAAACAAAAAACAAAAAAGAAAATAAAAAACAAACAACCTACTTAATTTCATCTTTATATATTCCTCTATAAATTTTACATGAAACTGATAAATGTAAGAAAATTACTTCTGTGATTATTTCTTCATGGAAGAATTCTACCCAATACTAAATAGTTCCAAATGTTTCAAAATTAAATTTTATTTCTAGGCAGTATTATAAAACAAGTTAATTTATCAATAAAGCAGTGTGGATTAAGGAATCCTGCCATAATCCAAATCAATTGTATTATAGTGTAAAGCATACAAGTGTGTTCATATTTGAGTTGAAAAAGAAACATTTATTGTGTTAATTTTCCCCACAGTCCAAGTATATGAAAACTACAATACCAAAAACAAATATTTGGAACTGATGAAAACAGATTAATAAAAAATAAATGATAAAATTTATAAAAATTTTCTATAAAAGTAAGCCTTTAGATTGTCTTTAAGGATTGTTGAAATGAAGTGATAAAATATTAGAATCTATAAAAAAAATGTTTTTATGAGTATCAACTCTAATCAGCTACAAATATTTTAAAAAAGGAAATTATAATGAAAAGCCTAAATAGAAACTGATATGTCTCTTCTTAAACTTATTCTGGAATGTTGTTTTAATAATTATGAAAAATGAAATTGAACTGTTAAAAGATACATTTTTTGCTTGCAAAAACATTTATCAGAGTATGATTATTAATTTATCTGAACAAATATCTTGACCTTTATTATTAGTCATACACAAAGTAGTAACTTTTATGCTGATTTATAGCTACTAGTCAAGCAATTATTGGAAATTGCATAGCTATTTACAACTACAAACAGAAGGATTCTTTTTTTCTTTCACTATGAACATTAGTTAAATAGTCAAGGAGTTCAAGTCTACATGAAGTGCTTTAAATATTTGAATTTGGGGATATTCTCTAAGACATGTGATGAAAAGTCCAAGACCTGTAGAAAATAAAGAATATCAAAATTAAAGAATCTTAAAATCAAGTAGTATATTTTAAAACAGCATAAATTAAAATTACTATGAATCCTCATGCTCCAGGTTTTTGTATGAAAATTATCAGTAATGCCACTAATACTATAAATGATATTGCAATACATTACTGTACTTTTGATCTGTTGCAGAATTTTAAAAAGAAGTGTATTTAAATTATTTCCATACATGCAATAAATGAATAAATTAACCCTTTTTAGTATTAATTGACAAACAGCAGCCATGATAACAGAAGGTAAAGTTCTAAGCCACAAATCTTAATTACTTCTAAATGAAGATAACATTAAAATGGGTAATGATTGCAATTTAATTGATTTTAAGCAGTTTTTGTTATTACAAACAACAATTTCTGATGTGACAGTGAACATCAGAATTAAATGACAGCAACTTGTCAAATTTAAATAAATATGAAAATATGTTGCAAAACTTCATTTGAAGAATTGTCAATTATTTCTTCATCAACAAAAAAGTGTGTGGGGGGATGATTATTGCCTTAAATTTAATGCTTTTGTCTGTCACAAATGGTACTTCTTATTAATAAGGGAGATAATTATAGTTCTAGTTATTTGCCATGATAAACATTTCAGAAATATTTGAATATCTATGAGATGAGATTTTTCAGAAAAGAGACAAAATAACATACTTGCTTATTATATATATATATACACACACACACACACACACACACACACACACAGGTTGTAGCCTGTCTGTGTTTGTTATTGAACTCCTCCATATATATTTGGAAACTACAAATATATTTCATTTTGATCAAAAGGGGTTCCAGGGAGGCACAAACATCGTCATTAGGATTTTTATCCATTTGATTTAAATTAAATTTAAATTTGAAAAAGGAAATGACTCCTATCCAAAATACAGGAAGTGAAAAGCGGAAGATGGAGGTCACATCAGCAAGATCAAAATGACACAAAGTGGACGTCAAGTTGAGCAAGAAATCACCAATCAGTGAGTACTGCCTTACAATACATATTTGTTGTGACAATTCAACTGTCATATCAATATCGAAATCTGCTTCTCAGTTCATTCAAACAAGTATTGCATCAAATACATATTATAGGGTTCAGATCAATCTGTTTTTGCACAAACCTCCCTGAAATTTTTTTTTCTCACTTGATTTAAATTAAATTTAAACAAGAGAATAACTCCTATTCAAAAGAACTTTGCTGAATAGTTATGAACTCAAAACACAAACAGGTACTAAAGCAAGCATGGACAAGACAAACGGAATATAAAAAGTGTAAAAGGTTTTCAGTTATTTGTTGAAAGGTTCTCAGCCTGATAGAGAAAGAAGTCCAAAAAAATCCTGTTTCGTCATTTGATCAGATTCTGGGAAATTGATTGATCCAAGAACTTTTCATTGCCTTCTATTAAAATGTATCATTCCTTTGTGCCATATTGCTTAAAATAAAACAGTATTAAATAGAAACAACCAAAAAATTATAATCAATATTTCTAAGTTTGGTTCAGAAACAACAATTCAATGAAAAAATTACAGTTAATTATGACCAAAGTTTACTTTTATTGAAACAAAATCTTCCTAATCAGTATTAAAGTAAAATCATTCATTTCTAAGTATTTTACATAGTTACAAAACAACTATACAGATATAACGAAATAATACATTCTAGCTTCCCTTTAATAATATTCATATTATATGTGGAGTAGTTTGATAGCAGAAACAAATATTTTAGTTGTTCTTGGCCACAGGGGTCGGTTTCCTCACCTGATCAAAACAAAACAAGACTAAAGTTTAAAAGATCAATTACTGTGTATTTTGGAGAGAAAAAAATTAAACATTGTAGATTTTGAAGAAAAAAGAAAGAGAAAGCTGAGTAGATTATAAATGTGAAGTCTGAGATAAAAGCAGAGAAATGAGTTATAAGCTAGACAAAGTGGGATTATGGCAAAAGATTGAAAAACAGCAGAAGAAATTCTTGGCTCAAATCCAAGATCAAAATGCATAAGGAGTTTTATTCTATGGCAGCACTAATGGATTGGTACAAACGATGAAGATACAAAAATAGTGGAATGATCAAAAGAAGGAAACTAGAAATCAAGGAGTGAATACTGAACAGATAAAGAAGTTTTTATGCTATAGAATATTTTGCATAAGAAAATATTTTAAATTTATTTTATATAGTTATATCATTTTAAAATGAGGCTCTTAACCCATTAACTGTAGATGACAGAAATTCCTGTCATTACAATTCTATGGCTCACTGTGAATCATGAAAGTTTCTCCTATACTTCATGGATTTATTCATTAGAAATTAAAGAAATACAAATTTAAAGTCATTTTTCACTAAAAAACAGCATTGTGTTTGTTAGTACAAATAAATAAAAAAAACTGCTTCTTACAATTACTTTATAATGTAACACACACAAACTTGACTCCTAACAGCAGACAGGCACAAGATATATATATATATATATATATATATATATATATATATATATATATATATATATAAAAAAAACATGCATAACAAATAGGAAATATATAAGGTGATGTTACAATAGAAGAAGTAGTGTCTCTCTCTCTCTCACACACACACAAGGAAGGAAAAGATACATAAACAATAGAGAAAGAAATATTCACCTTTGAAGAATCGAGAATCTATACTATGAATTGAATTCTCTGGGTTTCTTACCAAAATATAGCAAAAGTTTTTAATCAGTCTTATCAATGTGTCAAGTAAACATAAAATAATAAAAATATTTAAATTAGTCTTCATTTTTCCTTCTAAGCTGGGAATATCATACAAAACATGATTTTTTTTCCATTTACTTTCTTCTTATATATTTCAATATGCCAATGCATTCAAATATTTTAAACTTACTTTTTAGCCAGGAATTTTTTTAATTTCAATTTCAAATTAAGTCACAAGTAATTGTGATCATTATGAAGGGGCCTAAATGCAAAAGTAGGGAAAGGGATAAGTGAAATGGTTGATAATTATAGACTTGTGTCATGCAACAAGTACAGAGAAAAATGAGTTCCTTGATGCAAAGCAAATACCATGTAATAAACAATACTTGGTTTGAAGAATATCCAAGATGCTTGTGGATTTAGAAAATCATGGTAGAAGATATCAAAGACCAGATAGACTACTTAACTATCAACAAATTATTTAGAAATGTAGCTTTGCATGTGTAAACATACCCAAGTGCTCACTGCAAGAGTGGTTTCCTCCAGTCATATGCAAACTAAAGGTAAAATTACAAAAATTAAAATAGCCTAAAGCAATGTATAAACTGTAATATGATAAATTCCACAGTGACTCAGTGCAAGCAAACATACAGTTGCAGCTAAGAAGTATGATACTTTGAAATAGAAATTCAAAATAAAATACCTTGAGAGAAGCACCAATGACAACAGCAGAAGTCATTTGGAGATAAGACAGACAAGATTCTTGACCTAATGAAAGATGTTAGATTAGTGAATTTAATATTTTAATCTTTACTGCATCAATTCAATAGGCCTTATAGAAATAGCCACATTAATATCATCAGATGTTCAGCATAACAATCATCTGATGGATTCAAATTAATTTCCTTATTGACAAAAATCATCATCCTGTCTCTCCTATGATATTAAAAGGTTCACATCTGAAATATTAATATTAGTTTTTTTAAACAT